TGTGTTTTTTTGGGATGGGTTGTGAATTAGGTGTAGTTTCATGTATATGAAGGTGTAAATGAAAGTTGACTATGAATTGGCATGTTAGATTCTGCTGTCATTTAAGTTGTCATTACCTGCACCTTGTATTGTCATTAGACCTATTATGACTTGTCAACGGAGCACTGTCACTTGTCAATTAATTTGCTGATGTAAGTTGTCAACAATATGAATTCAAGTTACATAACTTGTTTTAGTAACATATGATATTCTCAATCACTGTGTCATATTATATTTTTGGTTATATTGTCATATATAATCATTATTAATGAAGTGTCAATGGTAGCACTGTGACTTGTCAATGGTGGCATAGTGACTTGTCAATCATGGCACTAAGACCTGTCAATGGTGGCACTAAGACTTGTCAATGGTGGCCCTGTGACTTGTCAATGGTGGCACTATGACTTGTCGTTGGTGGCACATGGACTTGTCATTGGTGGCAATGTGACTTGTCAATGGTGGCATTGTGACTTGTCAATGGTAGCACACTGACTTGTCGTTTGGTGGCACCATGGCTTGTTAATGGTGGCACACGGACTTGTCGTTGGTGGCAATGTAACTTGTCAATGGTGGCGTTATGATTTGTCAATGGTAGCACACTGACTTGTCATTGGTGGCACCATGGCTTGTCATTGGTGGTACACGAACTTGTCATTGGTGCCAATGTGGCTTATCAATAGTGGCACTATGACTTGTCAATGGTGGCACACTGACTTGTCGTTGGTGGCACACTGACTTGTCAATGGTAGCACACTGACTTGTCAATGGTGGCACTATGACTTGTCGTTGGTGGCACACGGACTTGTCATTGGTGGCAATGTGGCTTATCAATAGTGGCACTATGACTTGTCAATGGTGGCACACTGACTTGTCGTTGGTGGCACACTGACTTGTCAATGGTAGCACACTGACTTGTCGTTGGTGGCACCATGGCTTGTCAATGGTGGCACACGGACTTGTCATTGGTGGCACTATGACTTGTCAATAGTAGCACACTGACTTGTCGTTGGTGGCGCCATGGCTTGTCAATGGTGGCACACGGACTTGTCATTGGTGGCACTATGACTTGTCAATAGTAGCACACTGACTTGTCGTTGGTGGCACCATGGCTTGTCATTGGTGGCAATGTGACTTGTCAATGGTTACATAACTTGTTATATCACTTGTCATTAACTCATGTTATATTACTTATAATATTACATAAATTATCGATATCAATAAAGATATAAAATAACAAAAATAAAAATGTGACTTGTGCCCAAGAAATTGGTATCATAACATCTAATAACAAAGGTAATAATATTATAAACATAATTTGATCAGTTTGTTACAAAAGGACCTATTGACCATTAAGCTATTGCCACTCATGGCTCAGACCCTTAGGTGCCAATCATCTCACAACACATCCTGGCATAACATAACAAAAAATTAATTGACTCCTCTATCTCCTCCTCTTGCTCTTGTTATAGTCCGATAGCAGTGACATCACTTCATCCCTATGTTCATTATGGGATGGGTAACCAACCACCACAAACAGCCAACCTTCAACTCTTGCAATTCATCATTGGAGTATCGTGGCATGGTATATCCTGCAGCATCACGAGCAGTGCCATCCCACTCTTGTAGCCAAGAGAGGACATGAACTCCACATGAATCACTGCCAAGCAAATTCAATATGTAAGCAGCATGCAATTTTTATTGTGAACAAACACAACATAACACAATCAAACAGAACAACTACACTCACGTATCATTCTGCACATAAACTTTAGCCCATTTCACTTCGTTGCCAATGTTGTCCTCATTGGCAAACAATTCTGGCTTAACAGCACGCAACATCGTATGGAAACAGTTCATCTACAAAAAAAACACATAATCAAAAGGTTTTACTAACAACACAACATCCAGTGACAAGGGACAGAGCATATTGTGACAAGTAACACAGCATCCAGTGACAAGGGACAAAGCATCTAGTAACAAAAAACAGCATCCACTAACAACTAACAGAGCATCCACTGAGAAGTAACAGCATCCAGTGACAAGTAACAGAGCATGCAGTGACAACTAATAGAGTATGCAGTGACAACTAACACAACATCTAGTCAACTGAGCATCCAGTGACAACTAACATAGCATGTGATGACAACTAACACAGCATCCAATGACAACTAACAGGACACGTGATAACAACTAACATAGCATCCAGTGACAACTAACACAGCATCTAGTGACAACTAACAGAGCATGCAATGACAACTACGCAGACTGCTAGTGACAACTATAAGACTAGTCATTGACAAGTATGACAGCAGCAAATAAATACACACAGTCTGTGTTGCCATAAAGTGTTTGGGATTGAAGTGCCCTTTAGTCGTCCTCTTTTTCTTCTTCACATCATGTTGCTGCTCACCCCCCTTCTTCTTTGCTTCTTCTTCCTCTGCTTGTAATCTTATGAATGTGATGCTATCAACCAAGGAGTCAAGGGCATAGAAGGTCATGGTTTTTATCTCCAACACATAACAAAACCAATGATCTTCAAATAATGTAGGACCGAAAAGGAAATCGCAATCCCCTATATTGTACCCAATATATTTAGGTAATATTTCCCTTTCATGGTCCTCCCATTTCCATCTTAAAGGATTGGCTACCATTTTTTGCATGAAATCTGCAGAAAATATATGCCGGTTCACTCTCCCCTCTTTATCCTTTTGATCTCCAACAAATGTCTTTGCCACCATAGTCATAAACTGAAATGACAATATAAAGAAATTACAACTCTTTACCATCAAATAACTCATTCTAATGTTAACTATATACATGTGACTTACCCTATCGTTTATCCATCTTCTACGTTGGAGACATTGCAGCTCACCACAGGTTAGAAAGTATCCATACATCGATACAAAGTATCTAATGTAAATAAAACAATTATGAAGTCAGTAAATTCTGTAACATAATATAAATTTGGACACCAAAACATAATACTTACTGCTTTTGGTCCTCTTCATCACACCTTACTGTACACATGTCAAATAAAGCTTGCTTATCATTCATTGTTCTCTTTTTCCCAGGCTTAGTTTTGATTTCCAGAAATGGAGACCTAAGAGCCTTGCCCTTGCTTATGACCCTTGTTGATTTCCTCATATTTTTTCCCTTCCCCTTGCTTGTCCTCTTCATCCTCTTCATTCTCTTCTTCTCCTGCATTTCCTTCTTCATCTTCTTTGTCTTCTTCTTCTCCTTTGTCCTCTTCATCCTCTTCTTCTCTTCTTTTTTGTTCTTTCTCTTCTTTGTCCTCTTCTAGCTCTTTCACCTCTTCATTCTCTTCTTCTCTTTCACTTTCTTCTCCACCCATCTCCTTTTCTGATTGAGTTTTTTGTTCTTCTTCTCATTTCTATCCTCTTCCGATTCAGTTCCTTCTTCCTCAATTTCCTCTTCCTCCGATTCACTTCCTTTGACCCCTTTTTCCTCTTCTGATTTAGATTCTTCATCATCATCTTTCTCCTCTTCACTTGCACTGCCACTATCCTTCATTAGTCTTGACTGAAGGGCCATCATCTCCTCTCCCAGCATTGACACTAATCGGGCATATGTTTTCTTGATCTCCTATACAAGTAAAATTCAGAACTTTAATATGTAAGCAACAGAAAAAAAATGTACATTAAGCCTCCAAGTCCACTTACCGGGTGAGTTAAATTTTCTGTATCAAAATTGGTGGCTTGACTAGCCAGATGCAATATTCCTTGATCGCTCTCCTTCTCCATGTTAACTCTTTGCTGCACTTTCTTTTCATCCCAAAATGAAAGAGTATGCTCAACATGTGAAGCTTTTGTTTCCCCCAGTGGAAACTTTTGTAGACAATACATCTGCATGTCACATGAATGATAAGTTAACAGCAGCCATTGACAACATTCAGACCATAAAATGAAATGATAACAGAAATATACAAATTATAATAGCACTTACTTGTAGGAAGTATAGACAACCTGGCACATTCTTCTTCTTTTCAGTCAACTTGCCTTTTTCTAATTGTTTTTTGTACACTCCAATGCCCTTGTATAGTTCATTCAGCACATAAGATGACCAATCAAACTGACCCAATCTATCCTTGGTTGATAGTATGACCTTCAACAAATAATCAGTGACACAAATACTGGCATTAGGACACAACAATGTTCCCAATGCATACATGACAAACAGCATCTCAAAATTTTCATCTTGTTTGTCCTCAGTCAACAATGATGCTATCTTCTTGTATGGAACATTACCATACACAACCCTCCATTGCTTGAACACTTCATCTTCACCACTCACAGCTACTTTAATCTCTTCTCCCTTTATTGGCAGCCCCATAAAGTCATGCACATCATTTGCCCTCATTTTCCTTCTCTTCCCTCTTATGGAAATGCTTTTTGTTGGAAGGTCGAATGCACACATAAACTCTCCACACAATTCTCTTTGAATTGTGTGGCAACATACTTCAATCAACTTATCAAAACCTATCTTTTTTAGCCTGTCCATTAGTTCCTTCCTCTCTTTGATATGCTTGCAAACTTGGATGAACTGTTTAGGTGCACATCTTGTGTAGAAAGGAACTATATACTTTTTGGACTTTGTGGGAGCTCTTTGTTCCTTGGCCCTTTTACAATATTCCTCTTTTTGTTGCTCAGATAATTTGTCCCAAGCATTTCTCACATGTTGATTCCTGGATTCAAGTGATTCATACTTCCTCGAGCTTTTCTTATGGAATTCCTCTGTAAACAAGGCATAACCAGAAAAATTACAGCTTCTTTGTCCACTTTTGTTGGTTCTATCCTTCCCCATCTTCTTAACAAGGCAAAACAAGGCAAAACAAGACCAGTATAATGAACTTCAATTCTTCTTAGATTCCTACTCAACTTTTGTAGAGATACAAAGCTTCCTAGATATAGAAAAGAAAATTGATTTAAAAGCACTACCAAACAGAGAAAAAAAAAAATCTAACACTTGAATGCAGATGTGGCATGATAACAAATGATGGATCAAATTAAAAGTGATGGATCAAACAGCACTAAATCCATTCCCATAAATAAAACCATCAATCATGCCAAAATTATTTCTTGCTACATTCAAAGATATGATCAAATAAAAATCAAGTAATTATTTTCCTGCTTTTCTGTTTTGCTTCTTGTTTCAAATCATATACAGATTACATCAAACCCTTCATGCACTTACACCAAACGTTCCTGTTCTTCTTCATTAAAAATCTGATTTCACTATTACTATAATTAGCATTCAGTATTAATTACACATATTGCTGGAATGGTGTCTTTAAACATGTGAGGAAGCTTCAGGCTTGGTTGCATGAAATCAATCACTTAGTACTACTCATGAACATCATAACAGCAAAAAGGGACATTTCTTTCCAATTGTTCTTGTTGGCACAAATCCATTCATTTATGAGATTTGTGATAAATATACAAACTTTCTGGCAACTCTACTCAAATCCTTAACCCAAACTCTTTCATAGCAGAGCAAACTTCTCACACTACTTCTACAAAGATATACAAAAATAATGATGCATTTGGATGGCTGCATAATGCATATTTCAGACGCAATCATCAATATGGAAATAGAAATCCCCACAAAGGAATATAGTAACCACTACAGAGCATACAATCTTCACAAATACTTTGAACTCCAAGCAAGGCATATCAACTATTCAGGCTCATTTTTGTAACTTTAACAATCCCAGCAAACTTACTAATTGCTAAACTAATTGCGCATGTGTAATTAAGAACCACATATGACTGTACATACGGTATACCAAACAGGGGAGATATGATGAGCTACTTCATTCATAGTCGGAGGCAAGAGAACGTGGGACCAAAACTATACACAAATGGTCTCTGATTAATTAATTCCAAAGTGAAGCGGACATGAAGGAGCCTTCAAATTAAAATACACATACTATTCACAATGCAATTTTCTTCCTCAATTAAAAATAGACAGTGTAATGCGAAACTGGACTTAATATGTCAAATTTATCGACCCAGCCACATATTTATAATGGAAACTGTACTCGGAAAGAAGGACCACTTTCTCCGCCGCTCTATGAAAACCTATAAAAAGGTTCTTGAGCCAAAACAAAATAATGAAGTACCAGAAACTTACGCAAGAGTCATCTAATATGGAAGCAAATTAAATCAAATGTGAGGGTCCAACACCGTATAAATAGAGTTGTTACAGTTCGGGGCAAAAAAATAGTATATTTTGTTTACAATCACAGAAGGTTTTAGGGCAAGCCTCAACTGGGAAAAAATCAAAATAAATCAAGTAACTCTCATAAGTCGTAGCGCCCTTCAAATCAATATATCCATCAACATATGGTAGTTAACACCAGGTCATATTATTTACCACTCATCATAAATAATATCATTCAGCTCATATTCTAATTTACAGTGTACTTACAAGTGTGATATAAATTAGCTAAACGAAATATCGCTGTTGCTTCGCTGTTCTCCTCAATATCAACGACGAGCATTTAATGACTTTGGGTCACTATTTCCGGCGGGTTGTGAGTCGATTTTCGGCACCACGGTGGGTTTTCACCGATTTTTCAGCACCGCAAAGCCACCGAGACCATTCAAATTTCTTCGGTCGAACAAAAGAGCCACCACGACGAGCATTCAACCACTTCAGCCTCCGATTTTCGGCGGGTTGTGAGGGGACTTTGAGCACTGCGGTAGGTTTTCACTGGATTTCCAGCAGCACGAAGGCACAACACAGTTTCAGCTTTCTTCCGGTCGAACGAAAAACAGAGGCTCTAATCTCCCTTCAGCATTTTCGAATCTCATAAGCCAGGGCAAGAGGGTAATTTCCAGATTCTGAAAATTGCATCTAAGTCCCTTTGGGACTTCAGAAAAATTATGAGATTTCAGGGGACCTATTTGCTGTATTTTTGGTTCTGTGGGACCTTAATGTCATTCTCCCTTATATATTTCCCGAGGTGCCCTAAATGCTACGACCAACCATTAGACATTTCTAGCGGTTTTAGCGACAACCGCTAGAAATTTCTAGTAGTTTGGGACTAGCGATTTAGTTAAAACTGCTAGAAATTCACTGCCTATATATACCCCCACGGTCATTTTCACTATTTCATTCGTTCGTGAAGCGAAGCTCTACCGAATTCTCTCCACGAAACATATCCGAGTTCAGATTCAATTGCAGATTCTTATTTTCAGGTAGAAATAGTAATTTATTTATAAATAATTTCTATTCTTATTTTTTTATTCAATTTATTATATTTTTGTTTATAAATAATTTCTCTTTTTATTTTATTTATAAATAATTACTATTTGTTGTTATTAGGATGAGTCGTCAACCAGGGAAGGTGCCAGTTGATCCTGAGAGGACAGGACCCAGGGAGGATCGTCGTGATGGTGGTTATAATGTTGGTGAGCCATTCCCTAGCATTCATGACTACGATCTCAATGAGGAGGATCTCCTTAGCTTTATGGAG